TTTCTAGGCAGAGCACCAACAGGAGAGCTCTTTCACGTGTGAACTATGAGCCGAGGTGCCCGGCGGCCACACCCACTCTCCCCGAGATGGTGTCTTTGAAAAATTCAAACAGGTTTTTTGGCTTTTACTGTCCTTACTGAAGTGCTGGAACGTCCTGTTTCAGGTGAAGCCCAGGCGGGGTTTCCCTCTGCCAACTGCCTGGGGTGATGCTAACCTACAATATCTCCATTTTTAACTGAGAATAACGGTACCTACTCCTTGAGGCAGTTGTGAAGACTGATGATGATCATGCATATAAATTGCTTACCATAGTGCGTAACACGAAGCAAGCATTCAAATAAATTTCAGCCATTAGCAGGAATGCCAGCAGGGGCAGTGGTGATAATTTAATACTTTTCTGACATTTTTGGCTATGGTGCCCCCAAGGCAGTCATGATTGTTCTTGGGGAGATTAAAAAGAGAGGGTGGAACATTTGTGCCCATTAATCTCATGGATTTCTCAGCCAACATTGTGGGGGCTTTCTTTGAAGTTTTTTTAAAAAATTAATACATATTCATAGGAAGTTTCAAGGTAGTACCGTGAAATCCCCCGTGTCCTTCCTCTAGCTTCCCCTTATGGTTACATCTTATCACATCATAGAGAAATATCACAACCAGGCAGCCAGCATTGGTACTCTGTGTGTGTGTCCACGTGCTATGTAGTCACGTGTACAATCGTGTAACCAGCACCACACTCAACACCTGGCACTGCTCCATCACCAGAGGGCTCTGCTGGGCTGTCTCCCTCTACTCAGCCAGGGCCTGGGTGCCCACTCCTGTCTCAATGCTGGCTCAGGCCGACCCTTCCTGTTTGCCAGTTATGAAAGCAAGGTGGGCGGGGGTGGGGTGAGAGAGTTCACTTTAAAAAATTCAAAGTTTTTAGCTGGGCATGGTGGCACGTACCTGTAATCCCAGCTACTCAGGAGGCTGAGGCAGGAGAATTGCCTGAACCCAGGAGGCAGAGGTTGCGGTGAGCCGAGATCGCGCCATTGCACTCCAGCCTGGGTAACAAGAGCGAAACTCTGTCTCAAAAAATAAAATAAAATAAAATAAAATAAAATAAAAATAAAAAATTCAAAGTAATGCCATAAAGTTTAGTAAAATATTATAAAAGGAAGAGTGTTAATGAAATTGTGTTTAAAAAGATACAGATACACACTGGGTACAGCGTGCGCTGCTCAGGTGAGGGGTGCCCCAAAATCTCAGAAATCACCACTGAAGAATTTATCCATGTAACCAAACAGCACCTGCTCCCTCAAAACCTATTGAAATAAAATAATAATAACAATAACAATAATAAGATATGACTCTAAAGTTGGAAAGCAAAAAAAAAAAGATAGAAATAAAACAATCAGATCATACAAATAAAAGATATTAAAAAGTAAGAACTTAGGGGTTAAACAAGATTTAAATCAATATGTAAGTAACATTAGAAAAGCAAATTAGGTAAAAACCATACAACGTTTGAAAGTCTTGAGGGCGCCGAGAGCGATGGCTCACGCCTGTAATCCCAGCACTTTGGGAGGCCGAGGCAGATGGATCACGAGGTCAAGAGATCGAGACCATCCTGGTCAACATGGTGAAACCCCGTCTCTACTAAAAATACAAAAAAAAATTAGCTGGGCATGGTGGTGCGTGCCTGTAATCCCAGCTACTCAGGAGGCTGAGGCAGGAGAATTGCCTGAATCCAGGAGGCGGAGGTTGCAGTGAACCGAGATCGCGCCATTGCACTCCAGCCTGGGTAACAAGAGCGAAACTCGATCTCAAAAAAAATAAAAATTAAAATTAAAATTAAAAAAAAAGAAAGTCTTGAGCAAAAAATAGCTAAAGGCTGAACATATGCACATCCTATTACCCACTAACTCTTAGGCATATATCCAACAGAAACACATGGTGTGGCCAGGCACGTTGACTCACACCTGTAATCCCAGCACTTTGGGAGGCCAAGGTGGGTGGATAACCTGAAGTCAGGAGTTCAAGACCAGCTTGGACAACATGGTGAAACCCCGTCTCTACCAAAAATACAAAAAGCTAGCTGGACATAGTGATGGGTGCCTGTAATCCCAGCTACTCAGGAGGCTGAGGCAGGAGAATTGCCTGAACCCAGGAGATGGAGGTTGCAGTGAGCCAAGATTGTGCTACTGCACTGCAGCCTGGGCAACAAAAGCGAAACTCTGTCTCAAAAAGAAGAAAAGAAAAGAAACAAAATGCATGCATGTGTCCACCATTAGACAAATACACACATGCTTGTTAGTAGCTATTGTTCTTAGAAGCTAAAAACTACCCAAAAGTACATTATCCGTAAAATAGATAAATTGTGGTATATTTACACAATGGAATTCTATACAATCATGAAAATGAACTATAACTACACACAACAACACAGATGTATTGAATGCAAGAAGCCAGAAACGAAAGAATACATACTGTATGGCTCCATTTCTAAAAATGCAACCAACAAGCTGTGTTAAGCTAGGCCGTTAGAATCTGGGCAGAGGCTGCCTTTGGAGGCTCTTCATCTATAACGTGGAGGAAAAGTTGTCATTTCGTAGGGTGGTCATGACAATCAAATGGGGCAATGCGGGCAGCAGGCCACTGTTGGTCACCCAGTCACCCCTCAATTAGCTTAGATTTGCAGGACTGGGTGCTTTCCGGCCCTTTTGTTTCTGTGATGTTTGCGGGGAAGTTGTTTCGGGTTTTTTTGTACGAGAATTTCACCTCCTTTAGCTCTCTTCATCTCCTCTTCTCCCTCAGGCCTTGCTGGCAAGTTTGAGGTTCTTGCTCTGTGTTTATTCTTCCCCTTTAGCAATACTCCCCCAAGTTGCCATTATGACCTGCTGGTGGCACTGGTGCCCGGGAAGAGGTTGAATGGTCTAGTGGTACACTGGGCACACTGTCAGCCGTTATCTGTGCCCCATTTCTGGCCTAGCATGCACCTCCCCTCTTTGTGTGTGTGTGTGTGTGTGTGTGTGAAGGAATCTCTCACACTGTCACCTGGGCTGGAGTGCAATGGCACAATCTAAGCTCACTGCAACCTCCACCTCCTGGGTTCAAGCGATTCTCCTGCCTCAGCCTCCTGAGTAGCTGGGATTACAGGCACCCGCCACGCCACCATACCAGGCTAATTTTTTTGTATTATTAGTAAGGTTTCACTGTGTTGGCTAAGCTGGTCTCAAACTGACCTTGTGATCTGCCCGCCTTGGCCGCCCAAAGTGCTGGGATTACAGGCGTGAGCCACCATGCCTTGCACACGCACCTTCTCTAATCAACGATCAACCAGAGAAGGGGAGAAAGCATGGGTCTTGTTATACCAGTCATGAGAACATGGGAGGCTCAATGACTTAGTGTGCAGAAGAGAGCTCCACAGCCCGCCTGAACTGCTGTCCTTAGAAAGGCTGCTTGCAAGGCTGGCCATGGCTGGAGTTTGGGAACCTGGATGATCAACAGCTCCCTACAGCGATGGAAAACATTTCCTACATGTAAGAGGTCCTCAGTGTCTCTACACTGTCTGTATAGCAGTGAGGTTGTTGAACCCCTGCTCTTCTCTGGGTGTCTGGAATTTCAGCATGTGCCAGGCAGAGGCTGCCTTCGTGACCAGCTGCCAATAAAAACCCTGGCTGCCAAGTCTTAATGAGCTTCCTTGTGTCACATACTGTCACAGCTCACTTCGGGGGGACCTGAGCATGCTCTGTGTGACTGCACTGGGAGAGGACTTCGGAAGCTCCCTCCTGGTTTTCTCCGGACCTGGCCCCATGCACCTTTTACCTTTGCTGGTTTCACCCTGTGTCCCATTGCTGTCATATCAGAGCCATGAGAATGACTCTAGGCTGAGTCCTGTGAGTCCTCTAGTGAGTCACTCTGTGTGCATTTTGTCTTGGGAGTCTCAGACATGCTCACAAAAATGTGTGTGTGTCACAGTGTTGTGTGTGCTGGGAAGAAATAGGTCTCCCCACACTAGGGTCCAACTCAGGGTCATGCTAAATTCAGAAAAGCCACAGAGAGGTGGGGTGACAGAGAAAGAATGATGAGGCTTCCCCAAAGATTATCAACATTCTATTCAGATTGCACCAGCTGGATGGGAGCACTGGCACACGCCTGTAATCCCAACACTTTGGGAGACTGAGACAGGACGATCACTTGAGCCCAGGAGTCCGTGACCAGCCCAGGCAACATAAGATGTTGTCTCTATGAAAAAAGTGTTTTAAAAAGTTAGCTGGGGCCGGGCGCGGTGGCTGACACCTGTAATCCTAGCACTTTGAGAAACCAAGGCAGGTGGATCACAAGGTCAAGAGATCGAGGCCACCCTGGCCAACATAGTGAAATGCTGTCTCTGTTAAAAGTACAAAAAATTAGCCGGGCATGGTGGTACGTGCCTGTAGTCCCAGCTACTCAGGAGGCTGAGGCAGGAGAATTGCTTGAAACCGGAAAATGGAAGTTGCAGTGGGTCGGGATCGTGTCACTGTACTCCAGCCTGGCGATAGAGCGAGATTCTGTCTCAAAAAAAAAAAAAAAAGAAAAAAAAGTTAGCTGGACATAGCGGTGTGTGCCTGTCATCCCAGCTACTTGGGAGGCTTACGTGGGAGGATCACTTGAGCCCGGGAAGTCTAGGCTTCATTGAGCTGTGATTGCACTACTGCTCTTCAGCCTGGGCAACAGAGTGAGACTCTGTCTCAAAAAAAAAAAAAAAAGAAGAAGGAAAGAAAGAAAGAAAAGAAGAAAAGATTGCACCAGTCCTTGAAGGCCACTGAATGTGTGTGCCAGTGAGTGACATGTATAAGTGGGTGTGTGGGTGGGTGGATGAGTGTTAAAGTGAGTGTGCATGTATGTGAGTGGTGAGCATGTGAGGGTGTCGTGAGTGTGAGCATTGTTGAGTGTGTGGGGGTTGTGAAGGTAAGGGTGTGCATGTGCGTGTGTGCACGTGTGTGTATGTTCCTGTGTAATGAGACCCCAATAGGGAGATATGGTCCTTTACAGTTTAATAAGAGCAAGTACACAACCCACTCATCTGAGCCCTCATCCAAGGTCTCCACCCGCATGCTCAGGCCTCCAGACAGGAATTGTTCCAGAGCTGGAAATAGTTTATCCAGGGCACGGTGTAGATCAAAGACTCGCAAATTAAACTCTGCAGAAGAAGAAAGAAAACAAACTTTGGGGGAAGTATTTTTCAAAGGGGAGCAGCAGGCGCCTGCTCCTAGGGTCTGTCCCTGTGGCTACTCATGAACCCCATGAGCAGACAGGGAAGCTGCCCACAGTCAAGGGTAGAAGGAGAGAGGACTCCCGGCCTAGAACAGGAATGTCACCCTGCCTTCCTCCTCCCCGGCCACTTGGGACCCACAGCAGGGGCACCTGGAACCTGCGGTCTGGCAGGACCTTGTGATGAGGGCCATGTAGGCCAGCAAGGGACAATGGCATCCTCCCCTCCCTACCTCCCCAGGCATGGGGGAGACACTTGTATCTGCCAGCTTTCAAGGGGTGCCACCAAGGAACCGGGAAAAGCAGAAGGGAACACGGAGGAAATTGGACAACCTTAGAGGCCTAGAGAGGGAGAGAGAAGACAGAAGAAGGACCCCAAGGCAAGGGAAACACTGCTTTTCACGCAGAGGGTCTGGGAAGCGGGCCAGGCTGGAGAAGGGTGCAGGCGACCAGAGGCCTGCATGCAGGGCTGTGCCAGCCCAAATATAAAGCCTCTCTCCTCCCCCCAGCTGCCTCAGGAGGTGCCTGCAGCCCCAGGGCAGAGCTCCAGGGCTGGGCCCCAGCGGGCCCCAATCCACACAAGTGGAAAACTGCCAGCTTCTAGTTGGTGCTTTTTGAAATGTTCACTTCCCAAGTCCCTTTGGGAGGGCTCCCACTACACACCTTCCTCAGCTTCCTGCTTTGCAGGGGGCAGGAAGCACTGCTGGTGTCATTCCTCTTGCATTTGGTCCGGCCGATCTTCACAGTGACGATGTACTCCACACCCGTCGTCAGCTGCGGGAAGCATTTGTGCCGTGAGTGTGGACTCCAGGGTCCAGCGGCTGACACTCCCGGAGAAGCTTGGGCTGACAGTAAACCTCCAGAGCCACAGTCGGTGTTCCCAGAGCTTACCCACCAAAATCATGGCTCCCTTCTCCCTACTCCTGGCTGGAGGGAGGGCAGTGGCAGCCATAGTCCCTGGTCCTAGGTTGGCTTTGTGTGGCAGCCCCACAGAGAGCTTCCCACCTGCCTCCCTTCCATCCTCAGGACAGAAGAGGCGACATCAAGCTGGGTTCCCGGCCACCACAGGCCACTCCTGGGCTGGCACACGTGACCCTCATAATACAACAGAGCCAGCATCTTGTCCCCACCCTCCCGGTGCCTTCTGCCACTTCCTCTCTACCTACTATCCTTCCTGACCAACCTTCCTGTGGCTTAGCAACACAGTTAAAGACAGTTTCAGAATCAAATTGATTTGCGGCACGCATTTTCCATTTACTGACTCTGACCCTGAGCAAGTTCCTTAGCATCCTCAGCCTTTTCACTTACAAAGCACACATCACAATTGGGCCTCCGCGAGGAGCTGTTGCGTGGGCTAAATGGAAGCATGCATTTCCCTTAATGCATAAAATAAATTTTAAATATTTTCATAATTATAAATTATTAAATGTTTTAGCAAAGTGTCTGCAGCGTTACTCTGAAGCAGATTCAGAGTCAGGAGAGCAACGGGACACAAAATCTGGCTGTACCCACTGCAGACTCTGTCACCTTGAGGGAGTCCCTCCGCTCTCCCGAGTCTCAGTTTCCTCATTTAGGAAACAAGGAGATTGATGCCAATTTCCTCGTAGTGTGTAGAGAAACGAAGGAAGAGGGTGTGGTGGGTACACAAGCCGTGGAGAACACACACCAGGGCTCCCCCCGTGGCCCTTTCACTTGTGATCAAGGTGAGGCTATGAAGCCTACAGGGGGTGGAGCCTGGAAACGTGGTTGTGGGCAGGGAGGTCCTACACCCAGAAGGGAGACTCTTAGCAGAGAGCTTGGGGATTACTGTTCCCTGTCGGGTTCTGAGCTGGATTCCCTGAGTAGATGTGTGGATTAGAGGATCTTCACCCGTGCAGGAGGAGCTCTGGGAGGCTCCCTGCTGCCTCGCCCTGTCACTGGTCAAGCCCAATGAGAGGGCTTGGTAGTCTCTGGGGTGGTGACTGAGGCAGAGAGTGTCCCACACTGCTCCTAGGAAGACACCCTTAGCAAACGCCAGGACAGAGCAGCTGGGGCGCTAGGCCTGAGGGCAGTACCAGGCTCCCAGCACCCCAGCAAGCAGGGGATGTGCATGCATGGGCATTTGCAGGGTTGCGCCAGGCACAGTCACGCTGACCTTCCGCACGCTGCTCAGAATGTAAGAGAAAACTAAAACACCCGTCATCAGTGTAACTGACGTTCCAGCGTGTGAAGTGCTATTCGTTATCAGACCTATCTGTTTGATAATGACAGGAGTAGTCATCATCACAGCAAGGGTTTTTACAAGTGCGATTGGATGTTGGCACTGTGCTAAGCACTTCCCTCCTATGCTGAGCCACCTCGCAGGGGAGAAACTGAGGCCTGGAGAGTCTGGATGTCACTTGACCAAGAGCCTCAATTGGGAGGAGCTGGGTGTGAAGCGCCGAGACACACGTGGCAGCCCTCCGTGCCTGCTCTTGTCCCCTCTGTGAGGTGTCGGGACAGACACAGTCGTCGCCTGGGTGTGGGGGTGCCCGGAGGTCCATGCCAAGATCACCCAGCCACCAGGAAGCACGCCTGCTCTATCTGCTTATTGATGTGAATCACATCCAATGCTTATCGTTATTCTTTAACAGCTCACTTAGGGGAAGTAGATTGATTTCTCAAGACAAGCTTCCTTGGGGTCTCGACCAATTCAAAAGCGGAGGAAGCACCAAGTGGGCAACATCGCCATCTTGTGGTAGCAGTGCCTCAGTGAGCCAGCCCGTCCGCCCCGGGATGAGGACTTTGACCACTAGGGCTCGTCCTCCCCACCCTGCCCTCCTTCCTTGTGGATTCTCACGGTTCCTCTCTGGAACTTTCCCCTAGTCAGTTGCGTTTTCCCAAATCCAGCTAACGTCGTATTGCTACCCTGACTTCTGCAGTCCGCCCTCCATACTTAAAAGCTCCACATCTGTGGATTCAAACAACCATGCCTCAAAATATTCAGGAAAAAAAACAATGTATGGTTGCCTCTATCTGGAACATTTTTTTTTCCTCTTAAACTATTCCCTAAGCAGTACAGTATCATAATGATCTACATAGCATTTACCAGGTATGATAAATTCATCTGGAGATGACTGGCCCTGTGTGGGAAGGTGTGCATAGGTTATGTGGAAACACTACCCCATTTTACATAAGAAACTTGAGAATCTGTGGATGTGGACATCCTGAGGGGTCCTGGACCCAATTCTTCATGGACACCAAGGATGACTGTATCGTCTACTCTCTGACCTTGAGGAAATGTTGGACAAATAAAAGCGATTCCCAAACAACTTTTCTTTCTTCTATTACCCTTCACTTGATATATTTGAGAGAAATTGTATATGTAAAACAGAGGCGAGGTGATCTGGCCAAAACCTATGTCTGACATCCCCTCCACTCCCAAAATAAATCCTCTGTGCAATTTAAAATTCGTTTAACACAGAAAACCCCGTTTTGCTGTCACTGTGGCAGGGTCAAATATCAGAATGAAAGGCAGTTCTTCCCCAGGAAGAAGAGTTGGCTGGGCATGGTGGGCCACGCCTGTAATCCCAGCACTTTGGGAGCCCAGGGTGGGCGGATCACCTGAGGTCAAGAGTTCGAGACCAGCCTGGCTAACATGGTGAAACCCTGTTTCTACTAAAGATGAAACAAATTAGCCAGGTGTGGTGCCGTGCGCCTATACTCCCAGCTAATCAGGAGCCTGAGGTGGGAGAATCATCTGAACATGGGAGGCGGAGGTTGCAGTGAGCTGAGATTATGCCATTGCACTCCAGCCTGGGTAACACGAGCCAAAAAAAAAAGAAAGAAAGAAAGAAAAAGGGTTAAATCCTCAGTGAACATTTTTGCTTCTAAGTATAATGGGGTTAGAGTTCACGCCAGTCCTTAGACATGCATTTTGGAAGTATGGCTAAGGATATTCTGGGATCTGAACAATTCTACAATGGGCCCGCTGCAAGTGAAGCTGCTCCCCACTTGGGGCCTGGCGGAGAACTTAGTCGGTTCTCTCGGGAGTCACCCCAGAATTCTCACGTGTCTGAATGGGCAAGAATGGGGCCTGCTGATATCTGGGGAGAGCAAGGTACAAACCTGCATCTGACTTCGAATTAGCTTCTGGACTCGGTATGAGTAGGTGTCGTTGCTGGCATTGTTGTAGGACTGAATGAAGAAGCTGAGCGTTGAATTCATGTTCTTCTTGCTCATGGGCTGCTCCTGGAAGCCCTTCCACCTTTGCAAGTGACCCAGTTTGGCGGACAGGACCAGGGCAATCAGCAGCAGCAGGGGTTTTCTCCAGCATCCGATCCCCATGTCTACAGCGCCTTCCAGGGTGCGGCAGTGCCAGGCAGGAGCTCACTCACTCTCCCACAGCAGCCCTCATCAACATAGGCTTTCCTGGAAGACAGCCCGCCTGCATTTAAACAGAGATCCAGGTCCAAACCTTGTCACTTGCTTTCCAGCCAGTTCATTTTCCACCCATTTACACCACCCATTCCGTTCTTTAGTGATCTAGGCAAGCAAAATTTTTCAACACCTGCCAAGGCATGCAAAGCCCCTCTCCCTGTCTTCACAGGTCACAGAGAAGAAATCCCCCAGAATAGCCCCCTCCAGTGCTCTGCAGTCAGAGCTGGGGTAGCAGACAGAGAAGCTTCACTTACTGGAAGGGAGGAGGCCTTACGGAGAAGGTCATATCTGAGCTGAGACGTAAAGAAGCAGTGATAAGGAGCATGGGGTGGTACCTCCTTCTTACCTACCTTGGGTTTCAGCTGTCTCAGCAAGCTATCACCTGTTCCCGGTGCTTCCTTTAGAGATACGTTCGTTCTGCCACGCGCCCACCACAGCTTCTGCCTGCGGGATCCCAGCATACCTGCAGACCCCGCACTGGCTTTTGCTATCTTATTGTGACTCTAATGGAGCTTTGTGAGGTAATCACAGCCTCCCTGTGAGGGAGGAATAAACTGTGAGCCCCGTTTAGAAATTACTCTGCAGGCCCCTGAAGATTAGGTGTCACTTGCCTCCCAAAACCCGTAAGTGCCCTATTTTTTTTATTCTTAAATATGGTTTAATACTGTTCTCCATTTCTGTACATCACAACACCAAGATTTTGCAGCTTAGGATCTCTCTGCAGAGGCTATAGAGAATGCAAAGGCTACGGTTTTCACCCGCTCTTGTTTGTGTTTGTATGTGTAAGTGTGATACATATCAATATATATTGATACACACATCAATATATAATGCAATATATATCACCGAAGGGAACGCATTAATTAAAGAAATACAAAAATTTGGCATCATTTCCAAACTTAAATAGTAAAAATAAAAACTACAAAAGGAGCTGCATCCCCTAAATGTTTCATGTGAAACAACAAGCATATTCAAAAATGTCAATTTACATCCAATTAATCCGGTCTTGTCATATCACATCAGACCCATTTACAATGGCAAAACCCTAAGGTACTGCTGTGAAGAGAGCATGTTCGCTCGCTCCCGGGTGTTCTGCAAACAAATAGCAGAGCCCAAAGCAATAAAAGCTGTTCGGTGAAGTCTCCCCCAGTGGTGAACACCAAAGAATCGACTCTTCTCATGGGGGTTGAGACGTCAGGTTACACATTGACAGACAGCATTTGGACTTCAGAATACAGCGTGAGAACCAGAAACTTTACATTTAAGACATACTCCCTTCATTCAAGTGAAACAGGATTATTGGAACCATAGGCAGGTCTGTAACCTGGGAACAAGGAGCTGGCTCAGACCAGTAAAGCTACAAGTGACTGAATCAAGTCAGTAAAGAACAGGAGTCAGGCACTAAAGTGTTAAAAGTACCCAATCTGAAAACCAAATGTAGCCCACTACCCTAGTCATTGTGGAGGTGATACCAATTGACTTTTAAAACCTTTGGTCCTTCAAAGTCCATTTGGTATACTTTTTTCCATTGCTGCCACTGGGCACATACTATACACTTTGTTCACTGTCATCACCTCGAGCACGCCATGACCTTGCATATCAGCTGGGTTCAAGTCTGCCTTACTGGCCAGCTGTGAAGCATAGGCTTCAGGGTTTCAGGCCAACTTTTGGATCCAACATGGTCTTAAAGTCCCTGGTGCCAGAAGCTGTGTCCCATCCCTTCCCACCTGCCCCTAATTTCTCATGTGAGAGGTGTTTGTAAGTCCCACATTTGAAACAGATGCTCCAACCCCACCTGGAGGTCAGGAGTGTATAATTACATGCAGTCATACAAGTCTGTCATTCCTGTGAAAAGCCTTGCAGTTCATTTTAATAAATCAAAGCATTCACATAATCTCATGCCATCCAACACAAGGAAAACACGTCCACCTCCCTTTTAACAAGGGTTGACCCAAGCAAAACAAAATCCTCTTTAAATTTCTTCACTTCCACTTAACTTGCATGTTTTATTTCTTCCAATCCCAGCAAGAGCGCAGAAGTCCCATCATATCCCTTCCAAACTGGTTTCCAGTAGGTTAAGGTTATAGGGACCCATGTCAGAATGTCGATACAAAGGGCTCCCAAACACCGGGCACAAATGTGTCTGCAAACAGATGGAAGTAAACGGTGCACTGGCCCAAATGCTTCATGAGTCAGTTTGATTTTGCAATGCAATTTGCATCCTTGAAACTGCCAGTCTGGAGGGGGACGGGGGAGCATGAGAAAGTGAAGTTGAAATTGCCTCCTATTAGCTCACCCTTTCAACGTTAAACAGAGACCAAGAGAGAAATGGTTCCAACATTTCATCACATGTATTTCTTCATACGTAGTCAAAGCTGAGAATGCCATGCAAATGGGTCACTGCGAAATGAAACAATTTAATCTTTTTTCCAATCAAAATAAGAAACAACCCAGTATGATCTCACTTCTATTAACTTTTGAAGGTTTACAGCAGTTAAAGTATTTTTGCTTCTATATATGAAGGTTAAAAAAATCATTTTTTTTTCATAAAATACAAGAGCAACCAATTTCATCATTGAGTAAAAGTAAAAACTGAGATTCTTTTTTAAATTACTCCAAAGTGGCATTTTAGGAACTTAGTCGTAGGCTGCTGCACTGACACCATGACAAACCAAAGCGTAGGGTTGGGTCTGGTTTTGTTTCGGTTTCTTTTCAATATCCAATGCTCATGGATTAAGTTCCAGAAATGTTCCAATTGTAAGGCAGGGATCTGTTTGGATTCCATCATGGGTATGCTCCTTGGGTTGGATGCTGGAGGGTGAGGCACGTTTTGCAGGACCCGTGTCGACTACCTAGTAGTCATCAAGGTCAAAAAATTCATCGTCTCCTCCTTGGTATTCCATTCCCTGGAAATCTACTCGGTACCGCAAGATACCTCCAATACCACCAAAGCTTTTCACAAACTGAGATCCTTCTTGTGATTTTTCTGTGACAGTTTCCAATGTAGCTCCAAATTTTTTATAGTTGTTAGCAAACCATTCCAACAGGGGCATGCTCTCAATAAGCTCATGTTCCTGTCCGGTCTCTTTGTCTGTGAAATGAGATTTATCCCTTTCTTGCTCTGGAGTTAGACAGAGAATTTTCTCCTCTTCTGTGCCTTGGCAATGAAGAATATATCTCATTATATCCAGATTTTCACTGACTATTAGAATTTCTACAGCTCCCATTTCCAAAGCCTTTAGTGTATCTTCAACGCCAAAACAGTACTTGCCCGTGTCCTGGCTGATTTCATCAAAGTATCGTCCTATTAATTTCTTCTCTTGAATGAATTTCACATTGGAGAGGACTTCAGTAGATAACTCAATAGCTTGGTTGAATCCATTTTCACCACCATAGGATATATCAACTAATTTTAAAACTTTCAATTGTAACCTCTGATCAAACATATCAGATTGACTTAGTTCAGTTTTAAAGTCAGCAGATCAGCCACATTCACTTTGTCCCCAGAAATAAACAGCTGCACAGCAGTCTCGGCTACTTTCCGAACATAGTTTTGTCGCTTTGACTTTCTTTTCCTTTCCTTCTTCTGTTACACTTGTTCCATAGTAAACAACCAGACCATTTGGAGGTACTTTGTTAACAAAGTTTGTCTTTGTTGTACAGATGTAATGGCTTCCAGGACTGAAAGGCAGTTTACTCGTGACTTAAAGTTAGATGCAGTTCCAAACTCATCTGCTAACATTTTTGCCACTCGTGAAATCTGGTCTTTGGGAGCAATGATCAATGATATCACGCTGGTGCCATTGCCGCGGGCCGCCTCCAAACCGCCATCTTCTCGCCTCCACCTCCCTAAGGACCCAGTCCCGGGCGGCAGTGGCTGCTCCTCCCAGTGGCGGCTCCGTGGCGGGGGTGGCTCTGACATAGGACACCGGCTCCCTCTCTCTAGGCAGCTGCATGTGTTGCAATCCGCTCACATGGGGCCTGTGACATCACTTCCAAGTGCCCTATTTTAAAAACATTTTTGGCTGGGCACAGTGGCTCACCTCTGTAATGCACTTTGGGAGGCTGAGGTGGGTAGATCACCTGAGGTCAGAAGTTCGAGACTAACCTGGCCAACATGGTGAAACCCCATCTCTACTAAAAATACAAAATTAGCCAGGCGTAGTGGTGCATGCCTGTAATCCTAGCTGCTCGGGAGGCTGAGGCAGGAGAATCACTTGAACCCGGGAGGTGGAGCCTGCAGTGAGCTGAGATGCCTGGGTGACAGAGCAGGACTCTGTCTCAAAAAAACAAACAAAAATTGTTTGTTAAGGTGGGACCCTAAACGGAATCCCACCAGAAAAAAAAAAAATCAGTGGTATAGTAGATGAAATGTAAATAAAATCTGCAGATTAGTTAATAGTATTGCGTGAACGTTGATATTCTAGTTTTCACTATACTGTGATTGCATAATACGTTAACATTTGGGGACGTGGGATGAAAGGTATACGAGAATGCTTTATGCTATTTTTGCAACCTTTGTGTAAGTCTGAAATTATACCAAAATAAAAGTTAAAATATCCAAACGAAATAAAGCATTGGTCTGTGAGAAGGAGCTTGCTAAGGAAGGGGAGCAGGAGCCTTAGGATCCAGCTGTCCTGGCTCATGGCCTTTGCTGGGGACTCTGGGAGAGTTCCCTAATCTCCCTAGGCTCTGTTTCTTCATCTGTAATATGAGAATGGGGAGAAAGACTCCTCTTGGATTGTGGTAAAGACTAATTGGATGTGGGCAAAGAACCAGCTCCCAAGTCAGGTGTCGGGCGTATAAAAACATCTTCTTCGTGATTCTTCTGTGACTCTGAACCCAGGCTTAAATTCATGGCCTGTCAGGTCCCACCTGTCCTGGAAGCCAGGCCACCTCTCATCGTGACAGTGTTGCTAGGACCTGTCACAACATCCTCCCTTGGCTCCAGAGCCTGCCTTGAGAAGACTTGTCCAGCCAGTGGAGGTGATATGCTTGGAATTCCCTGAGCCTGAGCTGCTGAGGGCCATGTGCTGTAGAATAGATAATGAAGGATTCTGAGTGATCCAGAGGCTGCTCAGACCTGGGCCATCTCAGCACGCCCTGGACACGCCCCAGGATCCTCTCATCAGACCGAGGTCCTTAGAGAGGAAAAGTAATATTGGGTGGGCTATATTAGAATCCCCATGGACGTGGGGCTCAAAGCATAAACAATAAATCTGCTTACGAACTATCGGAGTTGATTGTGTCCATAAAGGGGAAAATGAGTCAGTGGCAATTTTAATTGATGAAAAGGAAAACGTAGACCCTGGCTATGCCACAGAAGGACATACAGGGGCCCTAACAAGTCACACTGGCATTCTTTAGCTTGTGGCAGCAGAATGCTGATCTCTGACTCTGTGGACATGGAATTGGGAAAAAATATGATTCTGGTAAGTTCTATGTATAAATGGAGACAGAGAGCTTGGTTAAAGCATGGAATAGGGGCTGAGCACAGTGGCTGATGCCTGGGAGGCCGAGGCTGGGAGGATACCTTGAGCCCAGGAGTATCAGACCAGCCTGGGCAACGTGGTGAAATCTCGTCTCTATAGAAAATGCAAAAATTAGCCAGGCATGGTGGCACACACCTGTAGTCCCAAGAAGGCGCAGGAGGCTGAGGTAGCAGGATCACCTGAGCCCAGGAGAGGTTGAGGCTGCAGTGAGCTGAAATTGCACCAGGTACTCCAGCTCCGGCGACAGAACAAAGGAAGATAGAGGACCTGGTTGTTGTCTGGTTACTGCCGTGAAATAAGTGAAATGTGGGGGCCTGAGGCCTGAGTATCTCTGTGGAGCAAGAGTAAGCTAGGAGTGCTGGCTATCACAAATAGAAGCCCTGTTCTTGTCAATACAAGAAGGCAGAAATACGAGCTCTGCTCGTGTCCATGGAATAAGGGGCATAGGAAAGAAGGATTGCAAAAGGGCAGGAGAAAACTTCTGGTGATAAATACGTCTGTTGTATTAATTGTAGCGATGATTCCACAGACGCATACGTACGACAAATCTCATCACATTGAACTTCAAATATGTGCAATTTGGCCAGGTGTGGTGGCTCACATCCCAACACTTTGGGAGGCCAAGGTAGGCAGATCACATGAGGCCAGGAGTTCAACACTTGCCTGGCCAACATGGTGAAACCCCGACTCTACTAAACAAAAAAAAAAAATTAGCCAGGCAGTGCATGCCTATGATCTTAGCGACTCTGGAGGTTGAGGTGAAAGGATCACTTGAGCCTGGGAAGTCTAGAATGCATGAGCTGTGACTGCGCCACTGCACTCCAGCCTGTGCAACAGAGTAAGACCCCATCTGAAAAAAAAAAAAAAAAAAGAAGAAAGAAAAAGAAAGAGGAAGTATCTTTTCCAGGTGTCCAGCAAACCAGGCCTCCTGTCTCATGAGCTGAACTTGGTAACAAGCCGCTACTGGACCAGGCATGATGGCAAGTGTGGGACTCCTGTTGGATCAACCCGTGGCTGAATGCTGTGTGGCGAGATGGTGCGTGTCCGACGGGAACCCTCTATGAGCTGCACAGCTTCCTGGTTCTGTCTGTTGACGACCAAGCTTGGGATTTATCAGTCCAGCTCCTGGGAGAAGCAGGAAATAAGAGCATGATGTGTTTTACCCCAGCAGGCTCTGCTTGCGTGGGCTGAGGAAGCTGCAGACAGAGTTTCCTAGCTGTAGCTTTTCATCACTCCTTCACCAGTAGATAAGGCATTGGGGCTAGGAGAGAGTCGCCCTGTGACACTCTTCGTCAGCCCACGTCTGCTATCTGAAATTTGCTCATCACTCTGGGGAAACAACCTCTGTAAACAGCATGGCTGAGCTCCATTGGTTTCTTCACTCTCTATGTTTTGTTAATTCGTTTGTTTGTTTTTGGCGTGTAGCACTATTTGACAAGCTCTTCCTTGTCCCCTAAATAACCCTGTTTTAGGCTAGTTACTGACCTGGATATAATCCAGGGAGAAAGCAAATCTATTTGCAACCCACCTGCTGCTGGGCACCCTCCAGAGATGGCCCAGGAAGGAACGGTCAGCAGTCTGTGCCTGCTTCAGAACTCTCCCAGCCTTGACTGCAGGGCTGGGGTCGGGGAGCAGAGTCCACGCGGCCAGCAGCAGCTCCCACTGCGGCCCTGAGCCCTCGACCCCAGGGCAGCAGCAGAAGGACATGGCTGACCTTGGCTGGAGATGCCCTCTGGTTCTGGGGAGCAGGCCAGCGGCAGGCCCACAGATTGTCAGTAAATAAGGCGCTGCTACAGATGGCTCCAAGCTGGCATCGCTCCAAAGGTTCCAGGGTACATTTTCTCTTTCCAGAAACAGAAACCTGAGAACTCACAAGGCTTAGAAAGCCGGAGCATGTCACAAGAGGCCAAGGACACCCAGGGTGGAGGGGCTTGTGGGCAGGTCATCCTCCTCATCCAGCCTTCGGTCTCCTTTCTGCAGACGTTTTCCACAACACAATATCTGTTTACCAGCTCTTAAATAGTCATCAGGTTCCATTTTGAAAGCAAAGAAAAAGCAAATAGATTCTGCAGGCTGCGGCACTCCTGCTTTCGCCTTCTCCTGTGATCTTTCTGGTTTTCTGTGAGCAGATGCTCTTCCCACTGAAGCAGTGAGCAGCAAAAGCTGAAGAAGGCCGGCCAAGAGTTTGTTGAAATCTGGACTTACATCTCAGGTTCAACCTTTCTGCTCATTTTTCTGTTTGGTTGTCTTCACTTGGTTTGTGGGATTTCTTTATCCTTCTTGCAAATATCATCTTCTGGGCTGTGGTTGTCTTTTCATTTTATTTATGGCATGTCGATGAAAAAATAATCTTAATGGAAGAATGTATTGATTTTTCTCTCTTATGGTTTGCATTTTTTTTTGTCTTGTTTAGGAAATCAAGGTCATAAGGCTACTTTAAAATATTTTTTCTGAAATTTTTAAAGTTCAGCATTTCCCATTTATGTTTCTAATTCACCTAGAATTTTCGTGCATGGTATATTTCCTAATGTTTTCTTCAGAATTTTTGTATCTATTTTCATGAGTGAAACTGGCCTGTGATTGTTTTTCTCATATTATGCTTTCCTGGTTTGGGTTTCAAAGTTGCCCTGGTCTCATACAATGAGTTGGGAAGCACATTAGTCCGGGTCTCCACAGTCAGCAAAGGCACACTTACAACAGGAGAGTTCAGGGCAGTTTCTATATGGTACATGGAAACCCCAGGGCACAGGACAAGTGTCTGCAGCTAGCAGCAGCCATGCCAGCACCCCTAAGCCTGAAAGATGAGTCAAACAATCTAGAAGGAATTCGAGTGCCCGCTGGCCACTTTGTGGAGGAAACAGGGGACAGACATTATGTTCTCAGTCCCCTCTGGCTTCTATCTCATGCCTAGGCATCTTGTTGTCAATACGAGCAGAAGTTATAGGGCACAAGAGCCCCACTGATGGAGTCCATAGCAGCCTGTGCTGTGCAGCAGAGAGCAGCATGGAGAACGTGCATTAGTCAGGGTTCTCCAGAGAAACACATAGATACGTAGAGATTTATTATAAAGGATTGGCTTGCACAGTTATGGAAGGCTCAAAGTCCACCATCTGCTGTTTGCAAGCTGAAAACCAAGGGAAGCCAATGGTATAGTCTGGAGGCCTGAGAGCTAGAGAGCCACGGGTATAGACTCCAACCCGAGTGTGAAGGTTGAATAACCAGGAGAGCTGAGGGCAGGAGACGATTGATGTCATAATGCAAACAGCCAGGAAGACCTGATTCAACCATCTGCCACTCAGGTGCTCGGTGGATTGGATTGGATGGCGTCACTCACATTGAACAGGGCCATTTGCTTTACTCCGTCCACTGATTCAAATGCTGACCTTTTCCAGAAACATCCTCACAGATCCATCCAGAAATAATGTTTAATAGGTATTGGGCATTCCGTGGCCCAGTCAAGTTGACACATAAAATTAACCATAACAGAAGGGTAGCAAATGGGGCCAGGGGGCAAACAGAAATGAGCCAGTACAAGATGATTTCCCTGTCTTAATTCTCTGGAAGAGCTGCTAGTTTTTACCTTTCTGCCCATGTCTTTTAGGGATGGGGAAAGGGAGATTCTGTGATCTGACTTCATTTCATTTCTTTATCCAGATACTCTCCCAATGTGCAGCTGGTTTCAATCATTTGCAGAAGTTACCTTCTGTACAATCTCTGCAAACACCGAAGTAGTAAATGCTAAACCATGGTCCCTAGGAAAAATGCAAGGTTTGGTTTCCTTGAGTCTCTGGTTACAACACTCTTTGTCAATCCATCAATATATAACCCTGTTTTATGTGTGTCTCTAGTTAGAGCTGTCTTTTTAAACATACATTTTTGACCCATTACCATCAAGCTCACCGCCATCAGCTCTGTAAATACCTGAATGAAGCTTACTGAAGACACACTTTCTCCATAAGGCACCCCACAGCTTTCTTGTGCTTAGGAACTAGATAGCACCACAGCACTATGCCTGGGGCCATTTTAAATGGCAAAATCATCAACATAAAAGCACAAAACTCAGACCGTGTGTGGCGGCTCATACCTGCAATCCCAGCACTTTGAGAGGCCAAGGCCGAAGGCATGTAAGATCAGGAGTTTGAGATCAGCCTGGGCAACACAGCAAGACCTCACTTCTAAAACACACACACACACACACACACACACACACACACACACACACAAATGTGGCACTAAACACGCTGTGAAGAAGGACACTTATTAACAGTATAAGAGCTGTAACAAGGCTGGGAGTGGCGGCTCATACCTGTAATTTCGGAACTTTGGGAGGCCAAGGTGAGTGGATCACCTAAAGTCAGGAGTTCAAGACCAGCCTGGCCAACATGCAGAGAACCCATCTCTACTAAGAATACACAAATTAGCTGGGTGTGGTGGTGTGTGTCTGTAATCCCAGCTACTTGGGAGGCTGAGGCAGGAGAATTGCTTGAACCCGGGAGGGGGAGGTTGCAGTGAGCTGAGATCGAGCCACTGTACTCCAGCCTGGTAGACAGAGTAAGACTGCATCTCAAAAAAAAAGAAAAAAAAAAAAGAACAGCTGGGACAAGAAGGCAGAGTGTTGCTGTGTTTGACCTCAGCTTGGAAGATATGTATCAAGCCACCTACAGTTTTTCCCACTCCGAGAGTGTCTGTGAATGACAGCAAACGTGCCACAAATGTTGATTTTAGGATTGCAACTTAATTTTAGCAAATAGGTGAGTTTGCAAATATGGAATCCTTGAATAATAAGGGTTGACTGTGTTTTCAAAGCTAGTGACTACCATGTAGAGTAGATTTGCGAAGACTCAGTTCTTCTCACCTGATTGTGAAGAAATTCTAGCACTGCACCCTAAATAAGCCTGGGACAGTGTAATCTAGGGATGGGAAAATTGTCTCACTTTCCAAAGAGTCCTAGATATTTCCATAAGAGCCAAATGTGATGCAAACTAAATATGCCACAGTGGAAACAGGTTTTGTAAAATTTGATTCATTCAGCTATTGGCCATTAACAATTAATTACAAACACTTATTGCAACAGAGAAAATACATGTTTTACAAACAAACAAAAAATACAAACTACACATATATCCTAATAATACATGTGTATATAAGTTATTTGGATAAAAATGAGATAGGAATACATATGTATAAAAAACTATAAATGTTTCATTGGGTAGGTAGAATTATGAGCATCTTTTTTTTCCCTAAAATTTCTTCTAGGAATTCAAAGATTATGTGGGAAATAAACCACTTTTCCCCTTAAGCAATTGTGTCAGGCTCACAGTAATAACTTATATTAAGCATAGATAAGAAAGGTCCTAAAATATATAAGATAAATAAAACTTGTCAATACGATCTTATGCCCATTTGCCATTAATAAAGGCATCAAGTTAATTTCAAATTTTGTTTGTAGACTTTCATATCAACTAATAAAAATAATAATATTTGGTAGGGCACAGTGGCTCATGCCCATAATCCCAGCACTTTGGGAGGCTGAGATTGAAAGATTGCTTGAGCTCAGGAGTTTGGGACCAGCCTGGGCAACACAGCAATCTTGTCTCTACTAAAAACAAAAGTTAAAAAAAAAAATAGCTGGGTGTGGTGGTACATGCCTGTAGTCCCAGCTACTCAGGAGGCTGAGGTGGGAGGACCACTCAGGCCCGGGAGATTTAGGTTGCAGTGAACTGTGATTGCACACTTCAGCTTGGGCAACAGAGTGAGACTGTGCCTCAAAAAAAAAAAAAGAAAAAAAAAAAGGAAGAAGAAGAAGAACACTTACTAATGACAATAAGTATTTTCTCATAAGAATTTATTTTAACTTAATTTACCGTTTTTTTGTTTCCCCTAACAGATACTTGTGTATATTTAATTTTACCTTTTCTAACTTTTTGGTCTGAATTTTATAGAGTAATATTTTAAGGAAATGTTAAGTAAGATTAACAAAGTTAGATTTAGGGCAACTTGTAACAATTTTGACATCATGTGAAATGTCGCCCCATACACCTATACAGAAACACATAAACTGATGTTGTTTCGAAAAAAATTTTAAAGATTAATAAAAGACAGCTATTTAATTATTTATCTAAAATGTGCCATTCAAATGTTCTTGGGTTTTGTTAGTCTACGAGAAAAATGAAAAGAATTACCGTAAATTGAACAATTAAATTCTGTCCTTAGAATTGTACAACCTCATCCTCACAGATGGAGGATTTATTTTCATTAATGCATTCCTTTAATGATTTGGAGTGAAGAGCCTCCGCAAATGGACTTCTTCCTTCCCTGCCTTCTGAAGCACAGCACTCTGCTTTGACCTTGTTCGATGACTGAGCCATGCTTAGCATTTCAGGAAGAACCAAATCTGAGATGTCATCAGAAGAGGCCACTGCAGATCCGGGCAGGGACCCTTGGGACAGCAGGGCCAAGTGAGGTGAGGGCTGTCCCCTAACCCCAGCCTGGGGGCTCCAGCTTCCCAGCTTTGTCAGTGCAATCAGAGTCGACCAGGCTAAACATGGACTCCCTACGACCTAACTGTTGTGGTCTGCAAACATCTGCAAATCCTCAGAGGCCTTCCCATCAGGAGATGGCATTTCATCTCCCTCCCCTTTAATGTGAGTGAGCCTTCTTGCTTTGCTTCAGTGAACCAGCAGTCACGCCCTGTAAATTTCCCTACT